TGCTGGCCACTCGCGTCCCCAGTTTGCTCGGAGGATTCCGAACCAAGGGCGTGGAGGTCTCCGCCTTGGCTGATTCAGACCAAAACCCGCCGGTCACGGCCGCCGCGCAGCCCGCCCGGCACACACCGTTGTACTTGGTCTTGCCCCAGCCCGTGGTGGCGCACAGCGAGCCCGCGGGGAAGTCGTCCTGGGCGCTGGGCAGGCACACGGGGGACACGGTCTGCGAGAACTGGGCGGGCGTGGCCAGCTTCAGCAGGGTGATGTCGTTGCGCACCGTGAAAATGTTGAACTTGGGGTTCTTGAAAACCTGCAGGTGACCCAGATACGGAGCTGAGGCCTGGGAGGATCCTGGGACAGGCTTTTCCCTGCGGCCCCCCAGGAGAACCAGTCCTTGGGCGCCCACAATAAGGATCCTGAGCTCTGCAGGGCTGCCCTTCTCCAGCAGGGGGCGGGGTGGGGGCGTCGTAGTGTCTCCCCACGCCCCGCAGCCCTGGTCGAACTCCCCGGCCACCACCACGTCAGTTGTCCTAGAGAGCAGGAGGGTGAGGACGAGAAGGCGTCACCCCGCCCCAGCCACCTGCCCCCAGGCTGCCGGCCCTCACTTGACCCCGCAGTGGGCGGCGGTGACCACCCAGTCCTCGCTGATGAGGGAGCCCCCGCAGAAGTGGAAGCCGGTCTTGTCCTGGGGAGGAAGATGGGGAGGGTCAGTCACTCCCACCTGGGCGCACCCCAAGGCTGGGCAGCCCCCAGGGTGTCCGCTTGGGCTCAGACGCCCCTCCTCACCTGCAGGGACACCTGCCAGGGCCAGGAGCCGGGGATGGCGTCCTCACCATTGACGATCCTGGACAGGCCGCTCAGCACGGGCTGGATGGCGGGGACGCCGCAGCCTGGGGGCGGTGAGAGGGGCGGGTGGGGAGAGTAGGGCGAGGTTAACTCTAGTCCCCACCCACTCAGGTCCCACTGGTGCCACCTCCTCTCAGCCCTCTTTCATCCTCTGGACCCAGTGGGCTCCCCACCCTCTCGGACTATCAACCGTCACTCTCCAACCCCTGCCCTCGGTCCCTAGGAGCAAATCAGTCCACACACTGGGCCCTGGGGTACAGAGGGACCGCCCCAGCCCCACCTCAGCTCAGGACAGCCAGCCTGAGGGCGAGGTCACGGAAGGCCAGACTGCTCGGAACCCGGGCCCCCTCACTGCCTAGCACACCTCTCTGAGTTTCAGTTTCACATCTCCAGGACAGAGCAGCGGTCACTGACTTAGAGCCAGCGTGAGGACACAGGACAGCAAAGATCCTCCAGTGTCCCTGGCAAACAGTGCTCTACCAACATGAGTTTAAAAGGGCACACGATCAGCAGATGGCATAATCATTACGCCACTGGACTACCATGTTGTCAACCGTGGTTCAAGTCCTGGACCCAGCTTGAGAGTCACGCTGGGCCCATGTGCATGCGTGCACTCTCCTGAGAGGAGAGTGGAGGAGAAAGGATTGCGGCGTGGCCATCCCCCTGAGGGGTGATTTCTCACTTTGTTTCTCTCTCTGGCAAGCTCATGCACCCTATAGCAAAAATCTCTCTTAATAAAAAAAGGGCAGAGATCAGGTTGGCCTGTGGCCTGGTGGTCAAGGTTCTGGATCTCACGTGGCTGTGCCATTTGAATCCTGGACCTGGCAGCATGAGATACACAGCAGGCGCATGTTCGTGTGTGCCCCGAATCCAAGGAGAATGAGAAGGGGTTGCAGCATGGCCGCGCCCCATATGGGGTGCCTTCTCACTTTCCCTCTCTTTCTCTGTCTCTCTCCTGCGAGCGCACGCGCCCTATGGTGAAAACAAAAGAGTAAAGTGCGAGATCCACATAGGTTAGGGTTCACAGGGGCTGAACCCCAGCTGCCAGCCTACACACTTGCCTCTGAGCCTGTGTCCGAGCCACCGGCTATCAGGATAGTTTTCTGTCCCTAAATTTGTCCTTCCTGTCCCCAGCACAGCGTTCAAAGCCTCGGAGCAGCCCAGAAACATCCCCCTCCTCCTCGGGAAGCCTCAGACCTGCCAGGTGTAGGGAGGGCCTGAGGCTGCAGCTCCAAGGCCTCATCTGAGACTGGAGCCTTGCAAGGGAAGAGGGGAGGAGGTGCAGGGGGAGCACTTAGCTCACAGGACCTGCGCGGCTTCTCTGGGAGCAGGGACCCTGCAGCCCCTGCTGGCCTGGGGTTGAGGGGTGGGAGGCAGCCCACGGCCGGACACTCACTGAGGGCAGTGCCCAGGAGGGCGCAGCAGGAGAGGAGCCAGAGGAAGGCCATGGCGCTGTGGTCGCGGAGGTTAGACACTGGTCCAGGGGCTCCGTTATATCCCCGCGCCACAGGCTGTTATCTGGAGACCTGGGGCGATAATCTTTCCCTGGGGGCCCGCCAAGTGGGCAGGGTGCTCCAGAGCTGGGAGCCTGGGACGGCAGCAGCTGTGGCCCACGGGCCAGGCGGGCTGGGCAGGGCAGCCCTGACCCATGGCCTTCCTCCTCCGGGCTTGAGTCCAGGAGCCCGGGTTGACCCCAGCTCATCTCCTGTGGCTGGAGGGCCTGGGACAGGGATGTGCTAAGTGTTTGCTGTCCAGAAGTCCCTGGTCAAGGAGGGCAAGAATGTGTACCAGGACTATGTGCCATGGCGTGGACAGAGGCTGCTTCGCCTGGTCTCAGGATCCCCAAAAGCTCAGTGAGGGCCCTCCTCGGTGACCTCGTGGACGGTCACTTCCTGCTGTCTCTCCACACTGAACCAGGGCCCTGTGCTCAGGCGCCAGTACGTTCAGGCCCCGGGGCTGAGCGTGTGGCGTTCTGAGGGAAGGTAGCCTGTGGGTCAGTGAGGGGCCCTGTCACCCCATGAGAAATGATGGAGGCTGGGCCTTGAGGTATAGGGGTGCAAGGAGACCTGATCCCCGGTTTGGGTGACAGGTGAGTGGTGAGGCCCTTTCCCAGTGGTAGGGAAGCTGGTGAGGGAGAAATTGGGGTTGAGGCTGCCAGACCTAGGGTAAGTCCCTGAACACACAGGACGGGCCCTCGTGGCTGCTTCAAATTTCTGTGGCATCAATGACTGTAGTGGTCTGTTCCCAGCACAGGGTTCAGTCTCTGGCAGCTGTGCAGCCTTGGCTAAGTCACTTGCTCTCTCTGTTCCCATTTCTATGTGTATAAATGGGGATGTTTGTATTGGGTCATTGGGAAAATAAATCACGACGCATTTTTGCATAGAAAAATACACCATGACTTTCCTGACGGCCCAGCAGTATGAATCCCATAGACGAAGAAGATGGACCCGGCCCCGGTGCTCTCCGCGTGGGTCCTCACGGGTGGCCACGCCGGCCATGCTGGCCGGTCCTTCACTTTCTCTCCTTTGCTTTTTTAAAATTTGGCAAGAGGGCACATGGGCTCGCCAGAGAGAGCGGGGGCTCGGGGGGATGGCCACGCCGCAATCCCTTCTCCTCCATTCTCTTTTCAGGATTTTGGCCATGTGTTCACATGTGCCCTGCAAGTTTCTCAAGCCAGAGTCTAGGACTCGAACCTGCAGTCGGCCATGTGGGATCCAGCCACCTTCTGAGCAGCCTCTGTATTTCTGTTTCTTGGAATAATTGCCTGGTATGCTCACTCTCAATTATTTAACGACCGGGCAGTTTTAGGTGGGAAAGAGGACACCAAACTGGACAAGACCGGATCTGCATGAAGCCACTCTCCGTGGAGCCATCAGCCTGCTCAGTCCGTCCTGCCCCCCACCCCCCCGGAATGGGCCAGAGCACAGAGAAGCACGACTCCCACCCTTGGCAAGTGTGCATGCAGCAGGGGGTGGGAGAGTTTAGGGAAAGGAGTCCATTTTTAAAATAAGCAAACTGGGACCAGCAGATGGCACAATGGTTACGTCGCTGGACTCACATGTAGTCACCCGTGGTGCGAGTCCTTGACCTGGCGACAGAACTCAGGCCCGGCGTGTGTGCGTGCCCAAGATCCCGAGAGGAGAATGGAGGAGAAAGGATTGTGGCGTGGCCATCCCCCCTGGGGGGTGATTTTTCACTTTCTGTCTCTGTCTCTCTAGTGAGAGCACATGCCCTATAGCAAAAATCTCTCTCTAAAAAAACTGTATGTCACCATAAGAGGCTTTTGTCACCACCGACGCCGATGCCAGAAGGCCCTGTTCAGCGTGAATATTTAAGTCAACAACCTAAGAGTCGCCCAGTAGTCAAACAATCTGGGAGGAAACAGTGCCCAGGCAGAGGGGGCGGCAGAAGGTCAAGGAAGCCGCAGTGGCCGAGAGGCGTGAGGGGGGCCAGGGGCCATGGTCGGGGCAGCTGCAGAGGGTGCTGTTGGGAACAGGGCACTGCCTGCCTCTCCAGCCATGGTGGTGGCCTCTGGGTGCCCACAGCCGACCTGGACAGATGGAGGAGAGGGCTTGATGGCCAGGCGCTGGCAGCTGAGTTGACTGTGACCTTGACCGTGACTAAGACTGTGGCCATGGGAGCCGACAGCTGGCCCCAGCCCTCCGCGCCACTCCGGTGCAGGCTGCTAAGGTGCGTGGGAGCCCGTGCAGCTGCTGGGAGGGGGCAGCCTGCCAGGCTTCTCTCACCCCCGGCAGATCCCAGGCAACAAGGAAAAGTGGAGAGTTAGGTGCCAGGTGGGGCTAGGCAGCTGGGCAGGGGGGGGGGGGGGACCCGAGAGCCCGTGCTGCTCAGGGACAGAGAGAAGAGGCACCCAGAGCTATGGGGGAGGCCCCGCTGCAGCCCCTTCAGAGAGGGCGAGGTCGGATGTGCTGGGATCCCCACGCACTCCAGCCTCCTGGGCCACCTCTTTATTTTAAAAATGGAGGTAGACTTGCCCTGCACCGTGACGTGCCCCGATTTGAAGCGCCGCGTCCTGGAATGTTGCGACAGCTTCGTCCAGCCGCTGGAAACCAGAGACAGGGAGATGCTTTGTAGCTTTCGGCTATTAGCTACTCGGGGAAAAAGGGGGGAAGCTACCGATGCTTGCAGAAGCAGGAGGGACCCTACAGTGCGATGTTGCTGAGCTGAAGAAGCAGGCAGGAGGGCCACCGGGAGGAGGCGGCCCCTGAAATCGGGAGGAGCAGTTTCCTTTGGCAAGATGAGAGGAGTCAGAGAAGGATGCTCACTGCTGTACAGGCCAGCACTGCACACTGCGAACCCCCGAAGACGGCCAGTTTTATCCATGTTTTACCACAGTAAAAATGTGCCATGGAGGCTAAGGCGCTGGTCCCAGATGGCCAACTACACATTTGGGGTCCTGGACCCAATGGCTTTAAAAACACACTAGGCAGAGCCAGCAAGTGGCTTGGTGGTTAAGGCGCTGGACTCCCACATGGCTGACTACAGTTCAAGTCCTGGACCTGGCAGCTTGCTTTCTCACTTTCCCTCCTTCTCACTCACTCTCTCTGGTCAAATTAAATAATAATAAATAAAATTTAAATAATTTTTTAAAGGGAGATTTTTGCAGAACCAGCAGTTGGCATAATGGCTATGTGGTTGGACTCTCATGTAGTCGACCAAGGTTTGAGTCCCAGACCTGGTGGCTTAAACTCACACCAGGCGCGTGTGCAAGCATGCCCAAGATCCCGAGAGGAGAATGGAGGAGAAGGGATTGCGGCGTGGTCAACCTCCCCTGGGGAGTGATTTCTTGCTTTCTGTCTCGCTGGCTCTCTCTTTCTGGTAAGCGCACACTCCCTATAGCCAAAAATCTCTCCCCAAAAATATTTTTTTAGCCACACCACAATTCCTTCTCCTTTATTCTCCTCTCAGGATCTTGGGCATGCACGCACATGCGCCCAGTGTGAGTTTTAAGCCACTGGGTCGGGACTAGAACCGCGGTTGACTACGTGGGAGTCCAGTGATGTCACCACCATGCCACCTGCTGGGCATTTTGCCGCCT